GCTTCCAACAGCCCTGGCTTTAAGTCTTTATTTTTATCAGTCTTAATATGTTGGACAGCATTTTATTGTTAAATGAACATTGGACTTACAGTTTATACACCTTTCCATGTCTATAATATTTAGTCTACTATTTCTACTTCTCGTATCATGTGCAAAGCAATCAGTTTTCAAACTCCAATGAGTAGCTTGAGTTCATCCAGCTCTCTCTTCTTGAGATCGTCATGCTCCTGCTCGTCGTCATCGACTTTGTCGTCAGGCAGTTTTGTTTGGAGGTAGTCACAGCTATCCTGACACCAAATATCAGAGTCGCCGCCACAATACACTGCTTTGTTCACATTGCCAGACTTGCAGTCTTCTGAAAAGTCAGCTTTACACTTTAGGAAACATTCGTTATAATTCTTAGTAGAAGGTGCTTTGCTAGCTAGGCATTCTCCAAGAATAGTTAACAGCAGACACGTGATTAAAAATACTGCTCGAACCATTTCTGAAAATATATTCATACGCCAATTAAAATACAAATAATGATAGAAAGCAAAATAGAACTGCTATTAGTATAACTGTATAGGACACCAGAAAACTACAGATTGATAGGTAGGCCGATTCGACTACCTGAAAGATCCTTCATTGCCGGGAGAACCCGGGGGCACGTGCCTCCCCCCCCCCCGCTCGCCAACAATTTTGGGGAAAAATATTAATGTTTGGGCAAACTATACTGTCCCCCCCCCCCAAAAAAAAAAGATTAGGCCCATACGCCCATGCCATTGGGAAGTTAAGTTGTTTCGAACGAAGGGCCTTCGCTCGTTTTACTTGTCTTTTTCAGGTATAGTTGAATCCTATCAATTAATCACCGCAGTTTTCTGGTGTTTTTGTCACTACCTATACGGTGGCACACCTGCTCGGCGTTCGAGTGATACAGGGAACTATGAGGATTGACTGAAGAATGAAATTCCTGCTAAAATTACAGTCATCACAGACCATGTCGTCGCTATATACATGGCCACTATACTATGGGTATGGCCACTAAATTAAACTCACTGTGATTTGGCGGACCGATTTCATGATGAATTGCAACCCTTAGCCAAGTCCCTGATTCTCAACTACTCATGCAGAGCTGATTCTTTATATACAATAATGAATCATGTGTTATATACCAGTCAGAAAAGTAAAAAAGAATAGAAAAAAAAATCTGCCGAGAAAAGGGAATTTATGTGATTGCATGATTTTCTGCACCGGCATATATAGCATTGCCATTGGTTTTCTGCGCCGCATCAAAAGAGAAGATCACATGAACCGGAGTTTACCTGTCCAACAGGCAACATATTCTTGCGTGATAGTTCTATTTTGATGAGCTTTTAAAGTTCTATTTTCTATCAAAACGCTATCATGATGTGCATGCTAGAATCCGACAAACGTTCGGTAAAAAAGTAGTCTAACATTGATCTTGTTTCGTTATAAGATTTTTACTTTTCTGTTAAGATTCTTTACAAGTTTTTTACAAGTGTTGTAGGCCTATACTTGTTTTTTGGATTGAATTCGTATGAAGCCTCTGCCTCTGCATGATCATGGCTCTGATCTACGCCTAACAATGTCACTTTTAAACTATACAAGCATATACGAAATACTAATTTTATGGGCTTACTTACGCGGTGAGGCTTACTTACTGTGAATTTGGATGCAAACCTGATTTCCTTCGTATATGACAGGGAACTTCTTGCAGTGTATAGAGAACTTCTTCAGTAGAGAACTGAGTGTGTCAGTCTCAACAAGTAATAATTAAATGGGTATCCAAGTCAGCAATGATTTCTTTTCAAGAATGACCGGTTTCTCTGGAAACACTCATTTGTTTAAAACAATCTTGATATAAATAAAATGGTTTAATGATAACTATTGTCTATAAGGTAGTTTTAATTACATTTCACCTAAACATTTTCATAATTAAATCATGAGTTGCAGTGGCAGTTACATAGGCAGAATATATAATAATCTGCAAGGTTAGAAAACTTTCTCCAGTGTCTGAATACATAACGAAACTAAGGGCGTAACAAAATTCTGGACGTTCGTAATATAATCTGTGAGAAATTTGCTTTTTTTGGCCGGCTCCGTTTCCCCACTTAAAGAAACTTTATTTTATGTAACGTATATCATTAATATTTTTAATTTATTTCAGCTGCAACCATGTATGGTGACTAACTTGTATGTTTTAATTTCGATTGTTTCCCTAAGGCTGGCTTAAGACTGGTTTACATACGCATTAAAATGTCTGTATAATTCAGTAATACTTGTTTTCCCAAAATTGTTACAACCGCGATCAAATTATTTTGTCCGGAGAACAAATCTCTCAATCCTATTTTGTGTTCAGTAATTAACCATCCGTTCTTCGTTCCATTTTCCCCAAATATTTTATTTTTTCTTCCTATCCAAATCCATGTTTTGCCGACTGGGATTCAATATATTGCCGACTACCTTATTGACTGGGGGGGGGGGGGGCGGTTTGGGGGGGGGGGGTATT